ATCACTTGGGGAAAATGGAAACAGACGAGGCTCAAGATATAACCCAAGTTTCAGGTGAGATCATGAAAGAACATGACTTAGAAGGGTAGAGGCGGGGAAGGAAGCCTTAACCTGAAATCCATTTAGTTCTTAACCAGTACACAGTTGTTATTATTGTCGCTGTAATTGCTTTGGGTCTTTTCATATTGGCAAAGTGGGAATTGGGATATAATTAATGTTTATCACTTTGTGCGAAATTCAGTAGGGCATGGGTTTCTTTTTAAGTAAATTTAAATAGAAATACAGACAAACAGACCCAAGGCTTCCAAGAAGGGGTGTGTGTGTGAGAGACAGACATTTTGTAGACTGGGGAACCAGTTTGGCTCTTATCAAAGACACTTAGTCTTGCACGTGTAACCACTGGGGGATGTGAGCAGAGATGAGTGTTTCTCCACCTTCATCAAAAGACTCTAATCTAGTCCGCTGAATAAGAACAGAAAGAGCAACGCAGTGAGGCCGGGGGGGAGGCTTACATCACATGAAGCTGAGTATCGCAGGTCAGGATACAGTTCTGATTCACGGACAGATCTGGACCCGTGCGTGTTGGTCTTCTGGCGCCGCAGATCCTAAAAAACACAAAGCAGGTTGAGCAGGAAGCATCTGATGGTCAGCACACCCAAAGTCCTGAATTCCTGGGACTTCTCCAAAGCTGAAACTTCTAGGACCAGGCGTCATTTCCTGCGGGAGCGCACAGGAGCGGAGCTCCGGCAGTAAAGAGCCCAGGGGGCGGGCACATGCAACAAGCCCCAGTGCCTGCTCCCAGAAGCCCTCAGTCGGGCCACAAGGAGCAAGAAGCAGCCAGGTAAGTTGCAGAGCTCTCCCCCATCCTGCCTTCAGTTATAAGCTCTCCTTCCTCTGTGAGGGCAGATCTGCGCATCCCCCCCAATAGCTAGCAATCCAAGATAGCAGTCCAGTGGAGCCTGAGCGGTGGGTGTTGCCTTCTCACACACTTCCGGTGATGTCAGGGGGTGTGGCATATGCAAATGAGTTATGCTAATGAGTTATGCTAATGAGCTCCTGCACCTCTTTTTCTACGAAATGACCCCTGTCTAGGATACAAATCTGAGATGACACTCTGCGGATTCCCATGCCACCGATTCATGGGGCAGGGTTCTGTTTCTCCTGGAATCGCAACTGATCTCCAGACGTCATAAATCGCTTACCTATATATTATTTATTCATTCGCAACACTTATTCCACAAAACGGCTGCTTTGGACTCTCTCTGGAGTTCCACCCTCAGATCTCCAGGTATTTCCAAATCTGGAACTGGCAACCCTGTATCATGAGGCACATTCAGATTTTCACCCTAGGTTTGTTTGGACAGTCATCCCTCTCATGGCTTATTAAGGCACTTTTTCTGGTGGGCAGAAAGGGTCAGCAGGTAGTTTATCTGTTGGAAGCAATGTTCCCTCTAAGCTGAGTTAGTGTGAGCTAGCTCACAGTTTTTTAGCCTCCGGCTCACACCATTTTCTCTTCGCTCGGGAAGGATGGCTGTAGAGCAAACTGATTTCTGCAGTCACTGAATCATGCGCTCGCAACTTCAATGCCAGTGGCTCACAAAGTTGAATTTTTGCCCACAAGAGTCCACAGCTTTGAGGGAGCATTGGTTGGAAGCAGCGAGTTTGGTGTAGTGGTTAGGAGCGCGGACTCTAATCTGGGAGAACCGGGTTTGATTCCCCACTTTTCCACATGCAGCTGCTGGTGTGACCTTGGGTCAGTTACAAGCTTTTTCGGAGCTGTTTCCTCACGAGCAATTCTCGAGAGACCTCTCTCAGCCCCACCTACCTCACAGAGTGCCTGTTGTGGGGAGGGGAAGGGAAAGGAGACTGTAAGCCGCTCTGAGACTCCTTCGGGTAGTGAAGGGTGGGGTATAAATCCAGTCTTTTCTGCAGCGGTGAGCAGTGTTCCCTCTAAGCTGAGTTAGTGTGAGCTAGCTCACAGTTTTCTAGCCTCCGGCTCCTGCATTTTTGTCTTAGCTCAGGAAGGATGGCTCCAGAGCAAACTAATTTCTGCAGCAGGCAGATCACTCGCTCGCAACTTCAATGCCAATAGCTCACAAAGTAGAGTTTTTGCTCACAAGACTCCACAGCTTAGAGGGAGCATTGGCAGTGAGGAAAGCCAAGGAAAGAGAAGAGGCCATGTGTGTGTGGGGGGTGGGCGTATGTCTTGTCCATGTGCTCTGTGGTGAGGAAGAGCATGGTACGAGAAATGAGGACACACCAACATTTGCGCCTTATCAGAAGCAGGCCATAGGCAGTGCTATTCTGGGGAAGTTAATGATATTTGACTCAGTTGATAGCAAGATTAATGAGATTAAATGTTTGTTTAAACTGGTGAGGGGACCTCCTCTCTTGGGTTTTTAGTTAGTAGTAGGTATCTTTCTTTATCCTCTAATTGTAGTCCCCTTTCCTATTTTTCTGTTGTAGTTTGTAGTGTTACTAAAAATGCAATATAAAAATCCCCTCCAGGGGCATAAAAAAAAAAGAAGTCTGATTCCGTTGTTGATTCGCCTAGAGCAAATCCTAGAGCATTGTCCCCAGAGTGATTCATGCCACTACTAGTTTGGCACCAAAAGTGACGTCACATGCTGGCACAGCACCAGGACAACACTGGCACGACCCCACTCCCGTTTTTGTCCATCCACCCCCCCCCCTTTTCCCCCCCCCCCCCCCCCCCCCAACATCTACACACTCCTTCTTAACTTTTGACTGTATAATCAAAACGTGGGGCCAGGGCTGCATTTCTCATTGAGGCCTACGCAACCCCTAGAACGACAAAATGCCACTTGTCAGTAGGTTTAGGGTGGCCGTGCAATGAATCCCCTGCTTATGGCTGGAACTGCTTGAGCATACAGTTGCTGCTTGGCAATCGTTGTCAGGCCTCCGTTTACAGCTGGCGGGCTGCGGTTGGCCTGTTGCGTTGCCCGTTGTGCCGGCCTCTCCTCACTCCAAGTTTCGTGTGCGCTTAAAAAGAGAGATCGAACGTTCGAGTGAAACTTCCGTTGGCCTGCAGGCCTTCGCCCGAGTGGCAAATCCCGCGAAAAGCATGCTGAAGAGGAGACGGAGTTACAATTTTTGCAGAATTTCCTCTGGCTTGTGGGTTTCCTGTAAAGACACCTGCGTGAGAAGGAAAGGGTGGGGATCGGTGCGAGGGTGTATATGTGTGGGATGAGAGCTCGTCTGCATGTTAGGAGAGGAAGAACTTTCTGATAGTTTGTACGCTAGGCCTCAGTCTCAGGAGGGGGCTTTCTCAGTACTTCATGCGAGCTTCCGGGACCTGAATGGGTGTTGCTGGGAATACAGCACTGGAATAAGTGGAGGGTTGGTTCGATTCAGCAAGGCCTTAAGAATTGGCTGGTTATCAGTAGCATGACGGCTACATGTTTGGTAGCCTAAATTTGTAGGGGACTCTTAGGTCTTTGATTCATGACTAAGAAGAACATATACTTATTAAGAACATAAGAGAAGCCAATGTTGGATCAGGCCAATGGCCCATCCAGTCCAACACTCTGTCACACAGTGGCCAAAAGTACCATCAGGAGGTCCATCAGTGGGGCCAGAACACTAGAAGCCCCTCCCACTGTTGCACACCCCCCCCAAGCACCAAGAATACAGAGCATCACCTTCCCCAGCCTGTGAGTTCCTATCTATACCTTGTGGCTAATAGCCACCGATGGACCTCTGCTCCATATGTTAATCCAGTTCCCTCTTGAAGCTGTCCATTCTTTTAGCCGCCATCACCTTCTGAGGCAGTGAATTCCATGTGTTAATCATTCTTTGGGTGAAGAAGTCCTTCCTTTTATCTGTTCTAACCCAACCGCTCAACAATTTCATGGAGTGCCCACGAGTTCTTGTATTGTGAGAAAGGGAGAAAAGTACCTTCTTCTCCACCTGCTTCATCCCATGCATAATCTTATAAACATCGATCATGTCACCCCTCAGCTGTTGTTTCTCCAAGCTAAAGAGCCCCAAGCGCTTTAACCTTTCTTCATAGGGAAAGTGTTCCAACCCTTTTATCATCCTAGTTGCCCTTTTCTGCACTTGTTCCAATGCTATAATATCCTTTTGAGGTGTGGTGACCAGAACTGTACACAGTACTCCAAATGAGGACGTACCATCGATTTATACAGGGGCATTATGATGTACGTATTGCCTTCTTTATGGTCCACCTGTGGCTAGAGTCGCCAACCAGTGGCTAGCACCTGGTGGGAGACTGGGCGGGGCAAGGGCATGGGAGATACTGTCACTAGGGATGCCACCCTCCAGGTGGGACCTGGGGATCCCCCAGAATTATGGCTCATCTCCAGACTGCAGGGATCAGTTCCCCTGGAGAAAATGGAAGCGTTGGAGGGTAAACTCTATGGCATTGTACTTCTGCTGAATCCTAGAGTGGTGTGATGTTGCTGAGTTCGCCCCGGTTCCCATGGGGTATAATGGAGAACACATCTGTGGGTATCTGGGGCTCTGGGGGGCTTGTTTTTTGAGGCAGAGGCGCCAAATTTTCAGCATAGCATCTGGCGCCTCTCCTCAACCAGGGGGTCCAATTCTGTGAGCCCCAAAAGAAGGTGCCTCCATCCTCCCTTATTTCCAATGGAGGGAAGGCATTTGAAAGGAACACGGTCCCTTTAAATGTGATGGTTAGAACTCCCTTTGGAGTTCAATCGTGCTTCTTCCCTCCCCTCTCCCAGAGGCTCCTGGAAAGTCCCCCGCCAGCTTGTCAGCCTCACCTGGCAACACTAAATGGTACCCATGTTTGTGGCGTGGGTGGAGAATGAGTTGAGAGCAACCAGTGTGTTCAGAGGTCAATTCGGGGGGGATCGCGGGGGATCGCAGTTCCCCCATGTGAGGTGCAGGGGGCGGGGCACACGATGAAGCCCCGCCCCCTTCTTCCGGCCGCCCCCTGCTTCCAGCCTCATTATGTTGCAGAAGGAGGAAGAAGCAGGAGGGTAAGTTGCGTCCTCCCCCTCTGCCTGGCCGAGGCCACTCCACGTGGCCCTCCGCAAGGACTCCCAGCC